CTAATGTTGCCTCAATTATTTTAGCTAATATTTTTGTAAATAAATTCTTTGAACAAATGGTAAGCTTCGGTCGTTAATTTTTCAAGTCATTGTTGTCTTCTTTCTTATGGACTAAAATTATGTTGGTGCTCCAGATTCTGGTACGCTTCCCGTCGAGAGACCCTTTGTATATAAGGTGGTCAATTTATCTCACACAGTTTTTCCGCCATCTTTCAGCAGGTCTATTGTTACCTTATTCTCACTAGCGGCTTTGCCTCTTTGCACTTCTTCTTTACCCTGTCAATAATGGTAGGATGTCGAATTCCTCTGGGCAAATTTTGCTTCTTACGATATCATCCAGGTTATTTCAGCTTCTGCACAGCTGGTTATAGAACTTCTCCGCCACACAAACTATCCTATCTATGATGATTATGACATTGCCTTCCTTGTCGTTCAAAGCATACATCCGATGTTGGTCAATGAACAAGTTTGCCTTCGCAGCTTTTAGGCTCTGGTCGCTTTTTACAGGCATTTAACCTTCCTATTTCAGATACCTTGCACCAATTTATTAACTTCGAAAGCTCCAATAGCTCTATATTGTCAGTTGCATATTCGGCTTTCATGATTTTTTCTCTGTTAAGGAGAATTTTTGTATTCTTAGATAGTTTTGCAGTGTCCTGTCTAGTGATTGTAACTCTGACTTTGATTGCGCACTCTTTGATGATACTATTAAGATTATCGTTCGTTGTGTCAACGCTAATGTTGGTTCCGTCGTTTAGGGCCTGTAATCTATCCTAAAAATAAACTCTGAATTCCTGCACTTTTCCTGTCACATCTAGATCATGATTTGGCTTCTGCTAGTTAATTCATTCAGTTTCGGAATTCAAAAACAAGGATTGGCCTGTAGCACACGTGCTGGTGGTATTCGCCTGGGTCAGTTAAGCGCAATCCTAATTTTCATTCCTGTCACTCAATGTCAGTCAAGAATGGTGCCGCCACTTCATGTTTGGAACCTGCATTGCGCAAGTCATGATGGCATCAAATGTCGGAGGCTTTTGATGCCAGCTCACTAGGCTTAGGTTAACATACTTTCCAAGAAAAACAAAGCTGGATCTTCTTAATAAAACAATAATGAATAATCTTAAGCATTTTATTAGTTACAAGATGGGCATTGATAAGGGTTTGCCCTTCACGTGATTCCATGTCTTCATGCTTTCTCCTGCTGTATAAGAAAGGTGGGAAACAGATTTGGCGTTAGCGAGGTTTTTTCGTCCAGTAATCAATTGGGCCGAGTCTGTGCAGCGGTGCATCTGAAAAATGACGCCAAAGAAAAAAGTGCAGTGATTGTGTAGGTAATCACAGGGAAATGTTAGTCGAACGGGGAAAGGGGTGGTATCTCATCCCCTTGTCATGTGGTAAGTGCTATATCATCGAAACTGGGAGGTGTTTGACTACCAACTGATAGATCCCAGGGCATCGCTTAAGGCGCACTCTTCGTCGAATCTGTGCCTACATGGCATAGACTGCGAGTGTCAACCTTTACTTCGCGAACGAAATGTGTTGTTGAGAATAGCGAGAAGTTACTGAGCCTTTTATATCCCCAAGATTGGTGACACATGTGTTACGAGGTGATAGGTCGCCGTCCGCCAACTGGAGATAGATTATCTAACGGCCGACCTCGAATCTTCTACGCGATTTTTCTCTATTTATATTTGTGTCTTCTTGAATAAAGTTTCATTTGCTAGTCATCGCTTGTGTGTGTGCCTTCGCTGTTTATTTTTGCGCAGCTTTTGTCGTTATAGATTGCAAATTTACCCAGTGTTCCGTCCTCTTAAGTTGGTATTTTCATCGCGCCATTTATCTAGCCGACTGGGCGACCATTCAGAACCAGCTCCGACACAATTTTGAAACATTGGCCATTCGGTACGCAATCGCCAAGCGGGCCCTTGATGCTGGCCGAGCACATCCAGCGAGTCGTACACATTGTAAGTTTAAAGGGGTTCATACGCAGAAACTTTGGCCTCGCGTTTTTCTGCTGCAATGTATCGCTAGGGGCCTGTTAGTTAATACACAATGCATCATTTGCTGCAACACGTGACAGATAAATAATTGCAGGCCCCTTACTATCAATAGGTCGCCGTTTCTGTGTGAGAGAGTTTGAAAAACTGGGTGCAACTGTCCCCACCTAGCGTATGCCGCTCTTGACCACGTCACTGCACAGAACTGTGACGCACCTCCACACGGTCCGCACCAATAATTACTTTTGAATGGCAAACGAGACTGGAATGTCGCCAATCACAAAACTTTCTAAGCGTGTGCCACGGCCACTCTCTCAACGAGCCGCCGAGAAATACAGACTTCGAGAAATAACGCAGCAAACGAAATATGGCGGCTATGAGTTCGCCGTAATCTGCTTTGTTCACCGCAGCGTGGTGACATGAAGGAAGTAGGGGGTCGCCTCGGGGTCCCCTTCAAAGGTGTCTATAGCGCTATGGAGTCGGTCGCTCACACAAACTTAACTTCGGAAGCTCCAAGCTACATTCGATGTTGGTATTTTGCTGATGATATACGAATGGTAACGAGAATTGAACCCACAAACTATCTGGGGCCCCAAAATTTGTCAGTACCCCTTCAAGAAGTCCACTCGCTATGCCGGCATGTCAATTTGCCCACAATAGAACAGGACAAAGTACGCTGCACTTTGAAAGATATAGGATCTGCTGCGTTTGATGCCCTCGCTGCACAGAACCCGGCTACAGTCATTAACGTCGTAAAAATGTGTCAGCACCTCGATGCACTGGACTCTGTTCGTCTCCAATCAGACATTGTTAAATGCCACTCTACGTCTCGTGGAGATCTCCGTGATCGCATACAAGCTATCATATGCGAATAGTTAAAATTTATGCAATGCACACCTGCTCTAACGCGTGCTACACAGTCGTATGAAACGCGGGATCGTCAAGAAAGAACCCACATGTCTGAACGGCCTGCGCTCCTACGGTCACCTGCTCCTTCGCCCATACCAACCTACGTTCGAGTTGCCGCCGCGGTTCCCAGCGACGTAGTTACCGCTCCAACCATACCCATGGGTCTCATCCACACCTTCGGTTAAATTCCATTTGATGCCACTTTACTTTTCACCAGCCTACCTGAGCGTGCAATCTTCTGGTGCACAGAACGCCTTCCACTAGTCACCATTGCGCTGATCCCAGCTAACCACTGCGTTCATCGCCGCCAAATGTCTCCTGTCTGCCGACATCGTCAGCAGGACGGGCGTCGCGGTAAACACAGGCGTGAATGGAATTTGTCCACTGGGGCATATCATCAACGTCGCCGTTATTATTTCCTCCGCACCAGTCTCCATCTCTGCACCACAGAATAGATGATCGGCCAGACGCCGACACAGTTCGGCTGGCCTCATTCTCTATGATTATTAATCATTCGGAAAACTAAGTGAGAAAGCTTTTGGAATAAAAACTGCATTACAAATTAGCACTCCAATACCTCCATCAGGCTCGTGCAATATGCATTTCGTGGTAGTCGAAGCAGAGCATGTTGATGTTGTGCTAGACAAGGGTGTAACATTTCTCGTTGTACGTGCTGATTTGTGTCCACTTCTGGAGAAAGTGACGACGCATTATGATGGACCCACGTTAGTTGTTGCTCACAGGAACACCATTAGCACTTGCGCGTTTTGTACTTTCCGTGTTCTTATTGACGGTACCTGTCATCATAATCATTATAGCACACCGTTTACTAGTACAATTTTCACAGTGACAGCAGGGGTAAGAAGAATACGACATTCGCTAATGTAGTCCAACAGAGACAGCTGGTTCAGTGGAACGCTACAAGTACTGTATCTTAGTGTTACCTTATGATAGGGACAAATGGCTTGTGCTTGAAGTTTTTGAACATTATTTACGCTACCACGTGCACCCATTTTTTATTTACAGTGTCATTCTTTATTCAGGGTCTGAATTTTTACGTTCAGGCCTCGAGTAATCCAGCTCAGTCTAGACCTGTCCTTAGCACTAGCGATAAATCTGGAAGGTTGGATGAGGCATTTACATAATGCCGACGCATTTCGCGGATCAGATTAGTAGACGCACAACGTTGCGATTTGGGTTTTTAGGCGTACAGCAAGCTCCATTTGGGAGATAATTTAGACTCCACAGAATGTTTAGAAGAAACCCGACGTTTGGAAACCGACTTGGTTACTTCGTGAAAGGTGACGGTGGAGGCTACGTGGCAGCGGCGTCTTCTCCGCAGTCATGTTTTCTCCGCAATCACCCCTGAAGAAGAAATTAAGTTGGTTTCGAAACGTTGAGATTCTTTAAAACTTTTGGTTAGAGTCTAAATCATCTCACAGTTTCATACCCAACCAGACAAACTTCTGTGCAATGTTTACAATCAAGTCAGCGAGCTCCACTTCTGCTTTGAGGCTTTATTTTTTGATTGGCGCAAGTTAACTCATCAAAGTAATTGATATTTAATGAGTGTGGCCCACTTTCTGCACCTTCGAAACCACAAGACAATATACTGAGCTACATACAAAAGTTTGCGGCCTAGTTGCGGCGGGATTTTCAGCTGTATCTGACACCAATGCGTTTAAGGTATTCTCACTCAGGGCAACTATTTTCGCAATGTTGATGTGATGCATGCCAGCTAAGACATGACGTTTATTCTGTCAACAATCTCTTTTGTGTGTATGGTTAGACTGACATGTTGGTCGCTCGTGCATCTCCTAAAGCTTATATCTTAATGTCAATAGGCAGCCAATGCACACCAACACCTCTTCTCTGGAGCGTTATCATAAAACCGTAAAGCTCAATGAAATAAGTAGAAATTTAATGTTATCCTGAATTTGTGATGAGTTACGGGCTATCTGCCTGATCATGAGAGTATTTTAACAAGCCAAATGTCATCTGTGTAACTTGAAGGTCTGTTCAACGTAAAGTATTTTTTAGAGAGCTTGAGTGCAGGTTGTGAGCTATGTATTAAAGCATCCTCTTTCTTTCTAGAATATGCGCCATGCACATAATCTACGACGATAACTATTATGGCAAGGTCGAAATTCCTGGTGGTGAGGCAGGTATCGTTTCCAAACAAAGAGGTTATGACAAAGCTCAGCATGATGTGCTTGTTCCTAATGTAGACATCGGCGAAGTGTTTTCGTTCGGTATGAGAATAATATACACTGATAGCAGAAGATTTCATTACCTCCAAGTAAGTACATGTTTTTTGTTATTGTTCACTTCAAATAGTCCCCAGACATGGTAAATAGAAACGATTATTCGGAAGAAACCTGTGAGGTTAGCTGTCGTACCGGTATAGTTTTGAATGGAATAAGTTAGATACGTGTGTTTGCGAACGTTCCGCCCATGCTTTTTGTTTGTCACAAGTTGCTCGCTTTTCGTGAATACGCAGGCACTGCTGCACAAATGCAGGTCTTTTTCAACACTACTACTGCGTTTTAACGAGAGAGTGTTAAATAGTTCGTTTCGCAGAAATTCCAGCATCGGCGTCAGTGTCAGTGTCTTTGCTTCCGAAAGAAAAATCATATTGTGCGTGAAAAAATTAAGAAAGACTCGAATAAAATAAATATCAAAAAGTCCTTGGTCTGGCTGAGGGTCAAACCCGCCTCGTTTCTTTGGCAAGCAGGTGTTACAGCACGTAGCCACGTGTCTGCTTGGGAATACAGTGAAAACTAACTTTCTCTACTTGAATACAGAGGTGAAGTAACTTTCATGTTTTACAAACACAAGCGTCCTGCATACATGCTTCCCAAAACAGACGGACGTAGAGATAGCGTGGAACGAAGTGCAGAGGTAGCCCTCACAGAGTAAACATCGTCGTCCATTTCTATGACCACGGGTTCTTGCTCTTACAACTTGGTGCCGTGAAACCCGGGAGTGGTTGTTCCGGGACGACGATGTTGTCAGCCTAGTGCCTTTGGAAAGTTCGCAAGACTGTCAGGGCCAGCGTTTCACAAAATATTACGCGACTGACAGGGCTAGTGCAGGATCATACCACCGAAGCGCACAAGCTGTACAGACAAGTTGCTATTTTGGAGACATAAAGATATTGTCGACCTCACTGAAGACGAGGGTATCGAAGAAGCCGACAGTGCAACCGAATACCACGGCAAGATTCTGTGCATGATCGTTGACATGCACTTATTCCTGTTGGAACAAGAACAGCCGACACGTTTCAGTGACCCATCTGTGTGTATACAGAATGGCGACCGGGCAACCGCCACTCCGAACAACATCGGATCTCCTCATGCAGAGCAAGGACCAGCTAGTATGCCGCATTTGTGGTCTGTCGCACTTACCCCGCTTCAAGTCCTGACGTATGCCAGTGATCTACGTAAGAGGCACGAATTCTGGGATCACCACAGCGCAATAATCCACAAAAAGCATGAGTTGCCAGCAATCGAGAAATTCAAATATTTCTTGACATACTTGACGGGAGCAGTCAAGCGAGCAATCGAAGGTATGAGGCTGGCTTCCACGACCATGTTGTCGTCGTCAACACATTGGAAGAGCATTTCGGGTGACGCGAATTTTCCGCGAATGAACACAGCGACTGACTTCTTGCACTGTCTCCGATACGGAGTTCCCAAAGTGTGGAGAAGCTTCGGATGCTGCACAACACCTTGTGTTTTCACGTAGGCCACTCGAAGGCCTGGTTGTACCCCCTGACAAGTACATTGTGGTTCTTAATTGCGTCCTGATGAGTTGCTTTCCAGAAGGCTTAGCTATTCACCATGAGATCGAGCAGAGTCGTCACCCGGCAGAAACTAGCCGAAGAGGCGAAGTGTGAATTGCTCCGTGCATCGTCTGCTAGCGAAGTTCTGTTTCTATGTGCGCATATTTCACGCATGTTCTGAAAGTTTTGTTTGTCCGATCATGTCAGTGCGAGTGTAACTCTTTCTATGTATGCCTCAAACGACGTGCGAAAGCATGCGGTTTTGCTCGGTTGCTAATGCATTGCTATAAAATCGGCTAGTGCGAATTTCCAGAGCGCTGTTTATTGTCGTCGCACCCCATTCACCAAAGTAATTTCAGAGTGGGTGCCGCTTTCTGTTTCAAGCACATCGCAAAACATTCTTGGCACCCTCCCAACCTGAGGACTATTAAATTATGTGTGAATGCCACGTTTTATAATGACTCGGTTGTAAAACTAAACAAAAAAACAGACTCTAGGCTAAACACTTGCGCGCTGTTGGTGGGTGTACAACTGCGACACTGTACTTTATTGATCACGCGGGGAGCCTTGTTCTGTTTATTTTACTGTAGTACCACTACATTTATTGTACTTTATTGATCACGCGGGGAGCCTTGTTCTGTTTATTTTACTGTAGTACCACTACATTTATTTATTGCTAGAACATAAACGCTGGCACACCAGGCGAAAAGCCTTTGTTGCGTTTATCGGGCCGTGGTACCATTACATAGAAATCAGGCTAGAACATAAAATGTGACACATTGGTACTTAAACACTGCTTGAAACAGAGTTACCATGCGCAACCGTCTGCTTAGATTTAATAACGTTTTAATTAGCCCAGACGTCGAAAATATAATCCAGATAGCATGCCTATATATAACGTCGTACAGTTCCACTGAAAATTTAATGTTTTCTACTTTGTCTTTAGCGTTTGTGCGGCATTGTTAGCAACCGTCGGAAAGCAGTGGTCATTTTTGTCGAAAAAAAAGACAGGCTTGTCCACAAGGGAAGGTCAACAAGAACAAGAACCAGACGCTTGTTGTAGCACTGTCATGCACGTGAGCTATCGATGAAAGCTCTCTAGTGAACTCGTACATAGCATTCTTTATTTTTACTGGTGCAAGAACATACGAGCACACGTATGAGCAGGAGTGATATGTGTGTGTGCGCGCATATGTCGAGTATTTCATAAAAGCAGCGAACTGCCGCATAGATTGCTTCAAGCTTAAGTCATATATGCAGGATGGACATCGCAAACACATCAAAGTGTAGTGGAAGTAATAATAGTACGCAAGATGTCAAACAACAACACTGAACATATACCTCTCACGCTAAAGACAACCATTCAAACAGCAACCGGTATTTATGCTCATGATGTCTAGCCCCCTTCTAGTGCAGGTGGCGCTACATATATAATACGCGTTTTCAAGAGCAAATATACATGTGACATGTATCTGGAATTTGTTAAGTGCTCTGTAGGCACGTCGACCTTTTATTGTAAAACAACGTGACATACCACGCCGTTTTTAATACTAAATTCTAATTATAAGCTGGTATTCTGTCATATAGGCTCAATGCGGTCAAGCCACTTGCGTCCAAGCCTGAGAGTTATACTAAGCGCTTACAAACACAGTTGGAACGATCTGTCAGCAGTGCCAGGCGAAAAATATTCTACGAACGTTACGATCCGGCGTTCGATATGGCTTGCGATGCCGCGGTGTGTACTTGTACGTTCGAAAAACGACGCTTGTCGTCAAACCTCAGCTGGAACGCTTCGTGGCGATTCTGATAGTTCAGCTTACCTCTTCTCTCCTTTAATACAATGATGAGAGGCTTGTGGATTTATCAAGCGTTAACCTTCCTGAGCCACCTGCGCCGAGATTGGTCAAGTAAATGTGACCCGGAGCGAATGTAGGCCTAGCTTACCGGCCAAGTCCTTCATACATGCCATCGGCCCTTCTAAGCTTAATAATATGCTATGCCCAGGAGTAAAATTGACTGTACAGTAGACCTTTGCCATCGGTTAACTTGAATGAACCAGTGTTTTGTCCATGCGGTGTGCACGCAAAGTGATTAGCATCGACGGGACCCGTTTTCAGCCGGCGACTCAGCGCACACGCGCCACCACTGCCACCGCTTACAGCTGCCGGGCGCACTCGTCGGCACTTCGCTGACTCATACGTGCAAACACAAGCTTGTCATTCGGCGTGTGTTCATAAAGTAACACAGTAAAACTCAACTTTCTACCCACTCCCTCCGTTCCCTAGAGCAGAGCACTCTCAGCTGCTTAGCGGCTGTTCCTATAGAAGTGAGCGGAAGGTTGGTTGCTTGGTGTCCATCTTGTCGGGTCGTATATAGCTTCTGCTGCCTATAAAGGATGGAGATCAGCGTTTTAAAATACGTTACAACAACTCAACTTTTTGTAAAGAACTTATGTACAAATTTACAAGACTTCACCGTTGGAACCGTCGCATGTTGCCTCGGCAGAGCCAATAGTGCAGAACACTTTTTTGTGTGACCTGAACGACCGTTAGGAAATGGTAGCCAGGTTTTAACCACTCGGCTGCCCCTCGCGATTCTCCTCACGGCCAACCAAACAAAACTATTCGGTTCGTTTATTGGAGAGACTAAGCACATTTGTTGCCGTCCTCTCCTCTCGCTCTCTTATTCAAGCACTCGACCTCTCGGTCGGAGAGACAAAAGGATCGGCCTGCACACTATGTTTCGCGAACTCTGCGAACGCACACAATGGTGGCTCCGTTCGACTGCGGGCTCCCTGCCATTACTGCGAGATGACTACGCTGTTAAGCGTGACAGCCGTCCCTCGGACTTTAATCCTGATGAATGGGGGCCGATATACCGGCTGTCCTCACATCGCCCACCAGCACTCCCCTGGCCGCGGACTACCTAGCAGGTTGCTAGAAGCGGCGACCGACCGCGTTCTTCTTGCAAGGACGAGCGTCTTCACGCCGGAATTATTGTTTCCCGAGAATCCTCTCTTTGGGAAGCGCGCCCTTTTGCGACAAAAAGAAGACTCATTCCCCTTGACAGCGAAGCCAGACCTTACCCACCCGTCCCAAGATTCGCGCAAGCGCTCAAATGCAGCTACGTGAATACCTACAACATGACGGGGTGAAGCTTAACGTCCGCAACCAAGCGGCCACACTTTGCGATTCGTTGAGTGCCAGAGAACACGTGCAATATTCTTTCTGCTTAAATCTCGGGGCCTCACCAAACGGCCGCCACCACAAAACAGCAAAAAAAAAGAAAAGAGAAAAACGACCTGAGTTCATGTGTACACAATGTAGTGAAGAAGAGGGGCCTCAGCGTCATTTCTAGGTGACTCAGGGGCATCGCCATCAGTATAAGCTCGTGCTTGCTGCACTTGGCCGGACGCTGCGGACTGCTTCGCCTTCTGCATTCTGCTCTTCAAATAAACACCGTTACAAGTGGTGGAGTCTGCTGGGTTTTGATCACCCTGGAGCTTTGGAATTGCA